AGTAATTTTATAATGATATTAATGGTCAGAAGATACCACATGTGAGTAAATGCTTTATATACAATAAAATTAAATATAAATTCATTCAAATTTTTATTTAAGCCTTCAATTACAAAAATAGCTCAATTAAGGAATGCTGAGCACACCAAAAATTATTTAAATAATAAATAAAAACAAATTGACCCTTAAAAATCATGATAAATAATAGGAAAAAATATATAATAAACAGTTTTTTCTTTTGATAGAATTTCATTCTCCATTTATTTTCTTTTTATAACATACAATAATCAATATCGGGTGTGCGATGTACAATACAGGACGCCTAATGATTGGCTGATATTGCTATGCAGTGCAAGCCAATCGTTAGGCATCCTGGATGTCACATAAAATTTACAGTGCACAAAAGTTTTCGGAATAGCCAACAGACATGAAAATTTATAGATATACTCTTTATTATTTGATAAACAAGTTTACTTAAATTACTTAGTGGCTTATATCATTACCATTTTTCTCAATTACTTCATTTAATCTTGACAACATACTACGAATTAAATCGACAAAAATTTTTTTGTCAATGATCCTAAAATTACTTCATGAAAACCTTTTAATTAACACTTTATTGACTTGCTTTTCAACATGTCCCTTTAAAATTTGCCACAAATTCTTAATTGGATTGAAATCTGGGCTATTTGATGGAAAATCCAATATTTTTGGACAGTGTTGTGCAAGAAATTTTTTAGTATTACTATCAGTATGCTTAGGGTCATTATCTTGTTGAAAAATCAGTGGTTTCCCATGACATTGTTTGTATTGTCAAATAGATTTTCAGTCAAAATCTTTCGATATAAAGCATCATCCATAATATCAATAAAAAGAAACTAATTGGACCTTTTACAGAAGAGGCACCACAGGCATAAATTTTGTATGGATGCTTTACCATAGCCTTGTGGAGGTCGACTAACCAGTTTTATAAAATACTTTTGAGTATTTTTAAACATTTATAATGTAGTTTCATCAAAAAAGTGGCTTGTCCCATTTTTGTCTTCTATATTTTATGGCAAATCCTATACAACATTGTTTGTGTTGGTTGATAAGAAGAGGCACAGATTTTGGAATGGTAGAAAGATATTGCAATCTATGAAGCTCATTAAGTACTGTACGATTACTAATATTAAGATTATAATGATGTTTATTTAAATATTTGCAAGTTCAGCAGAGGTGGGAATTTATTCTTCGAATCAAGTTAAGTTTAGGAAAAAATTTTCTGGGTCTGCATGATGTTGCTTAGGGCCTAAAGAAATCTCATTAATAAGTTTTTTAGTATAATCATATATTGTAGAAAGTGGAATAGAAGTTAATTCGTGCAGAGTATAGACGTCATGAGTATCAGATCAGTACTATACGTATAGTTCTAGAATATACATTAATTCCTTATTTTTTTTTTAAGGCAGTGTTGTAATTACTGGAACAACATTTTGTGACCATTCTTATCATTCATTATTTAAAAACATATATATATGTATCCTTTAATGAGTCTTGCAATATCTGTTTACATATAAACAAAAAGTAAAGTTTATTAGTAAGAATATAATTACAATATTAAAAAATTATATAATCAACTACTTATTATTAGTTTTCATTTTATTATATTTTATTTAAAAATGTATAATTCCCAACTGCTAATTATTTATTGTTTCTTTATGAAACCATATCTAAAATTTTACAAGGAATAAAATAAAATCTTAAAGAATGTGTACAAACTATCACGTTCCTTGTTAAAAATTACATGTGGTTGTACTAGTGACAAGTAAAAAGTTCTTTCGATTTTAATATATAGTGAAAATTGACGCGTTTCACAAAAATTTTACATAGCTATGACAGTAGACATGTCGATCGCGTGAAATCTTGTCTGACTGTTATGGGGAGATCCGCGCTTATGAGAGTACTCGAACAAGGAGCCGAAATTTTTTTTCCGTTATAAAAACTTTTTTCGAGGGTATCACTTCATAATACTAAAATGATCCTTGAGGTTCAGCCGATTGATCTATAAATAAAAATTCAGTTGTTTTCCTTGTGGTTTTCGTAAAATCTTCTAAAAGTTGGTCGATTGACTATTTTACTTTGCAAATTCAAAATGTTGTAATACGAAAATTATTGCATTCTCAAATTTAAAAATCAATGACAAAATATATTTTTTTTAGATGAATTGACTCCTTTTTGAAAGCTGAATTGAATATCACATAATATTTCAAATTTTGAGTATATGATCCATAGAAAAAAAAAATTAATTGAATTTGTGATTAAAGATGTACATGCAACATTTTCATATTTTAAAAGGTTCTAGTTTGGAGCATTTGTTCATTCTCTCAACTCGCATTTAAATATTCCACGTATAACTACAATTAAAGAATCTTTAAAAGTAATGTATGATTATTCAACTAGTGAGCTCAAAACAAATTAATTAATAACTGGCAGCAACTAATCATAAATGGGAACCACAATCACATGGTTAACACAAAATTTTGAACCTATTAAAATGCTTTAAATTTAGTTCATGTACCATATCCTCTCACAATTATAAAAGATTGGTTGGAAAATGAGATAAAACCATTATCATTTCAAAAATTGTTTTTTGAAACGGAATTCATCAATCTAGCTAAAAAATATCAATTTTGTTATTATTATAGTCTTTGAACACTATAATATCTATTTTATATTTTTATATTAAATTTTATTATATATCTATTAACATTAGAGAAATAAATTTGCATATAATTTGAGAACCTAAGCTGCAAAATAATAATATTTGTTTATCTTGTTTTTTATATGGTCAACCTCGTTGTTTCAATGAATTTTGTTATAATAATGAATTTTAGATCTTATATGTCTCCATAGATTCGTTGAAACGATTTGACTGTTTGTTGACGTCAAATTTTATTTTAAGCCGATCATACTATATTAAGTGTTAATTATGTCATATACTCGTGCAGATCGCCATGAGTACTCTTACGAGTGTAACCACTAGTTTTGTAAATTCAAAGTTTATATTTTCCTGGGATAAGTAACAACTTAATCAACCACTTCTAATTTGTTTTATAGAACGAATATAAATAAAAAAAATGGATCCTCAACTAATTGCAGCATATGAAAATTGAAATTGCGGTTATGGCATGTGATAACTGAATTGCAGTTCCTATCTTTAATAAACCAATGATTTTTGACAAATTTTAATTAATTGATAAATATTTATTACCCCATAAAAAATTACTCACGGAAAGTTACTAATATAGAATCTTCCTGTAAAAAAGCACAAAATGTACGGGAAAATGTAAGTAATTCATAACTGATAGTGATGATGATGATAATAATAAGGAATATGTACGGAAAATCCGGTAAAAGTACGTTTTTATTTGTACGGAATTGGTACTGATGGAATTCTACCAAGAGATATGGAATTGGCAATACTCAATTTACATGGAATTTGCACTATTAGAATGGAAATTTATTTATTTATTTATTTTGATGATTTAATAATAATAAAAAAAAACACATTAATATATAAAAATAAGTAAATCTATATTCTTTTTGGATTTGCAAATAGAAATGAATTTAAAATCAAAAAAAAGAATTAAAATTTTCTTACTGCGTTTTAATTCTTTATTATGGTGGTCGTACATATTTCCGTATCAAAACACGGAATATTAATATATTAATATGCTGACACTAGTACTGAATATCGCTATTATTATTATTTGTTATTTATTGATTGGGTTTATTTTTGTAAAACATTATTTAGAAATTAAATTAGTTAATTAAAAGATTTAGAGATCTTTAAATTTTATGAATAAGTGAATGTTATATAATGATCGACGTGGGAAAAATTTTACAAAACTAGTGATGTTAGCCATTTAAAAATCCCTTAATCGGATGATCCTAACATTAATTTAAGAAATTTTAAATCCTCCCTTTCTTTTGGTTCAAGTTTTGTCCGATATACATCTTTTCTTATTACTGGTTTCTTTGCCGCTCTCCAGTTTATCGAAAAGAATTGTCTTGTTGGTAGTTGGTGGCTCATCATTTGGTAGGTTTTATGGTATTTTCATAATCCCGAGGACACATGAATTGGTAATAACGTATAATTATAATTTTTGTTAACTTTGAAATTAATATTTATTGATTGATTTGTATTTATTGATATCTATGAAAATAAATTTCCAATTATTATTGTTATTATTATTAGGCGAGAGAACGAAATAATTGATGGCAATAAAATAAATTGAATGGATCAGATTTTACCAGCGAATGGTTTTTGGGATTTATTTATATGGGTTTATCAAGTCGAAACTTTGCCTTCAAGCCGAGGCTTATTTTGGAGATGATTGAATAGCAATTTTCTCGTACCCATTTACATTTTTAATGGGGGTTTTTTTTATAATAAAAAAAAACTAAATGAATTATTTGAAAAATCGAAAAATCAAGATTGCATTATTTAAAGAACATAAAAAAAAAATTCATCGTTATCAAACTTTAGTGATTAATTCAACAATAAAAGGATTTAGCATTCTTGGTTTTTTATTTAAAATCTCAAAAATTCGTATGTGAAAAAAGCAATTTTGTGCTAATTCCATCATAATCACTATATACACATAATCAAATTAACAATATAATTAGATTACGCAGAACGTCAATACCATCCTCTTGTTTGACGAATTCATAAAAAATATTTGAAGTATGAATTGCCATGTTGAGCTTGGATTTTTTTTTTAGTATAGTACTCACCAGCGCACAAAAGGTATCATTTTACATTTTCATCCATTTCAGAAATTTTTTTTTTTTTTAAAAAAAGAAAGTCCAATTTAATTTGTTTGTTATTTATTATTATTATTATTATTATTATTGTTTTGTTGGAATAATTGTTTAGAAATTTAAATGATTATTATTATTATTATTATTATTATTATTATTATTATTAGCGTAACCCAGCTATTTTATTACTATTACTATATATAAAGATTTTCTGAATTGAATAAATTATAAGTGAATCCACTTCCCATCAACATATTGTTGTTGTTGTTGTTGTTGTTGTTGTTGTTGTTGTTGTTGTTGTTGTTGTTGTTGTTGTTGTTGAGATTAAAACTAAAATTTAATGATGAATTTGACATTTCTTGCTCACTAGTAGTGGTTACAGTTTGTAAAATTTGTTGATGAAATGTTTTGGCTTTATAATCAAAACAAAAATTAAACAAATTAAATTTTAATAAATATTAAATGTGCAGATATTGAGGACTTTGTTTACCTTGGTTATTATTACCAAAACTAAGTTCGTTAGGATAATAATTTAGTAATAGATTTGTCATTCTTTGCTCATTGATGGCACGTAAAATTTGTTGGTGAAGTGTTTCAACTTGTGAATTTGAAAATTTAACGAATTAAATTTTTTAAAAAATTTAATAAATATGCAAATATTGAAGAATTTGTTTACCTTGATTATTATTAAAACCAAGATTGTTAAAATAATAATTTAATAATGGATTTGACATTTTTTGTTCGTTGATAATAGTTTGGGTTTGTAAAATTTGTTGACGAAGTGCTTCAACTTATGAAATCAAAAAATTAACGAATTAATTTTTTTAGCAAATTAAATTAAATAGTAAATATTTTGAAGATCACGTTACCTTGAATGCTAAGATCTAACAATAGATTTAATAGATTTAACATTCCCTGCTCAGTAGGTTGGGTTTGTAAAGCTTGAAATGTTTCAACTTGTGAAATTAAAAACAAAAATACAAATTAAATTTTTTTGAAATTTTGTAAATATTGATGTGAAAATATCGAAGATTGTATTTACACTGTTTATAACAACTTTTGTATAATTTATTCAGTTGTCGTTGCTTCTTGATTGCTTTTTTTACGGCCCTGTCTCGATGACAATCATTTTTTGTCTTGTCGCAATTATCGCAAACCTCTTTATTGTCGCATTTAATTTGTTTAATACTGCATCGAATACAGACGTCATTGGCGTATTTGGATGACATTTTTATAATTTTTGATTTGTAAAAAAAGTTGATTCTGTTCGATTTAAATACTTTTATTTTCCTCCTTTATTCTAATATTTTTGGATGATGATGATATATTAAACGGAAATTAAATAAATTGAATTGATGTTTTGTATACAAATAAGCTTTAAAAACATTCATCATCTTTGACGATTTTCCTTAAATGGAAACTAAAGGGGTTTGGCTTAGCTTTAAATGTAACCTCTGACAAGATTATAGAAAACATTCAGAATATAAGTTATTCAATTTCCGTGAATTATTATTATTAGGGCTGAACGCGTAAATGGCTCATGATTTACTTGACTGATAGGAAACATCTTATTATTTCGGGAAAAATTTTACCCGTGCAAAGTACTTTTCGATCTTTCTGGTTTTATCGAAATTATTTTAATAAATTAACTTATTTATTTATTATTTGTATAATTATTTTTGATTTGTAAAAAAAATTGAAATCAAAAGATTTTTTTTGCGAATTTAAATGATCGAATGATGAAATATAACAATAGTTTTTAAGTTTTATTGTTTAATGTAAGTGGATGTTACAATATTTTGATAAATATTTGTATAATGTAAAAATTAAATTTTTCTTTTTAATTAAAGTTTATATTTTTTTCCAATTAAATTTTCTTTTTAATTAAAGTTTATATTTTTTCCAATTAAATTTTCTTTTTATATTTTTTTGAATTATAAACAGTTTATGCAAATATGAATGTATGGGCATAAATTATGGAAATTATCAAATCCTTATTCTAATTTTTTGTAAAAGACTGCACTAATACTATATTTCAATTTCCGCGAATTAATAAGTATTATCATCATTATTATTAGGACTGAGTAGCTATCTAACTCGTGATTACGATTACTTTATAATTTAGGAGGCATCTTGTTATTCGTTATTTAAGAATCGGTATTCGATTTTATCGTTGTATTATTATTATTATTGTTGTTGTTGTTGTTATTTATCCGCAAGATCTACAGGGTACATAAAATTGCTATATTAATATAGTATAATACCGTATTATACATGGTATAGTGCAGGACACCTAGTCCCACAACTTTTTATTGGTCTTGTATATCCTTTAGTATACCGGAAATGGAAATGTAACAAACCATGATTTTGAAGCTAAGACCTTTCTCCACAAAGCTATGGTTGGCTCGGTCTAAAGACCTCCTATTTCTGCGCCACGTGGCCAAATTTCAAAAATAGCAATTTTGTAATTTG